GAGGAGAGGAGAGAGTAGAGTAGAGGAGAGGAGGAGACTAGAGGAGAGGAGGAGACGAGAGGAGAGAGTAGAGGAGATGAGAGGAGGAGAGGAGAGAGTAGAGGAGACGAGACGACAGGAGAGGAGGAGAGGAGGAGACGAGACGACAGGAGAGGAGGAGACGAGACGACAGGAGAGGAGAGGAGAGGAGGAGACGAGAGGAGACGAGACGACAGGAGGAGACGAGAGGAGAGGAGAGAGTGGAGGAGAGGAGAGGAGAGAGTGGAGGGGAGGAGACGAGAGGAGACGAGAGGAGGAGACGAGAGGAGACGAGAGGAGGAGACGAGAGGAGGAGAGGTGGCGAGGAGAGGAGAGAGGCTGAAACATGGAAATAGTAATTTCTTACAATTTGGCACAAACGTCCACCTGGACTCATTTATTATTTATATTTCATATTCTGACCAACCGTCCAGAAAAAGTATTTCATTTATAATATCGTGAAGCAGAAAAAGCAAAAAATGAGGATCTGGGTCTGTCCACGGTGGACCGGTCTCTGCTGGAGGATCTGGGTCTGTCCAAGGTGGACCAGTCTCTGCTGGAGGATCTGGGTCTGTCCACGGTGGACCGGTCTCTGCTGGAGTCTGAGCTGAAGGAGGTTCTGGTGAACCTGCATGAATTCATCTGGTTTCACCAGAATCCGACCCGGTCCAAACAAACGTCTCAGATCAGAACTTTATTGAGGTCGGTACAGATGAACACTCTGAACACAAACTGCTGGATTTTAATCAAACTTGTTTTTTTAATTTAAAAACAAAAAGACAAAACATTTGTGTTTTTACAACTTTTTATTTCCAAAATAGCTTCAAACGTTTACAAGAGCTAACCGTCATTTATTACGTTCAGCGACTAAAACTGTCAAATTTAAATAATTAAAACGTCCTCATGCTGCTTTTTAACGGGGGGGGGGGACCAGGAGTCCACACTGGTAACCCTGTTGTGTAACGCCACAACGCTATGCATTGTGGGTAACAAGACTGCAGAAATATGGACTTAAAGAAATTCAGTTTTTACTCCTTTTGTAACTTTCAGACGTCACTAATATTCTCTAATATTAAAACTCTTAAAAATCTACATTATAGTCAATATTTAACAGCCAAATCAAATAGTTTACAGGATTCAACTTTTGTGTCTTTATTATACATTTAATACTTGTTTCTTCACAGGGTTTGTATGAAGGTAATAAAGTAGTTTATGAATATGAGATATGAGTTTACAGTCGTGGTTTACGCCCCCTCCTCCATTAAAGAGCCTCTGAATGAGTCCTGATCCCGGACCGTCGGCACTAAAGGAAAGATAAAGAAGTTTCTGCTGAACATGGAACATGTTGAATCTGGAACAAACGATATAAAGTAAATATTCTAGTTTCTTCATTGACGTGATGTTCCAGTGTGAGTCCTGATCCTGCAGGATCCAGACCAGGTTGTTGGTTTTTCCTCCCGTCATCGTTCCACTTCCGTGTTTTGTCGTTTACTCCACACTTTAGCGGGTCTTTTCTTCCCATAGATGTGCATGGTGGTGAATGTCTTCTTTTTGTTCAGAAATGACGAGTCCTCTGACGTTTTCCTCGTCTCCTCGTCCCCTCTGTCCTCCTCGTCCTCCTCGTCTCCTCGTCCCCTCTGTCCTCCTCGTCCTCCTCGTCCGTCTTCTCATTGGCTGTCGCTCTCTCCCAGCAGCCAATAGGTGGTCATCTTCCCTTTGCCCTTGACCTCGATGTCTCCTCTCGGCTCCAGCTGGAAGCAGTTGAACTCCAGCAGGACGTCGTGAGTCGCCGCAGACACGTGAATCTTCAGCGCTGCACGGACAAAATAAAAGATGTGATTCTAGGAAACACTAAAACCCTCCGCAGCGTTCTACAGAAGTCTAAATCTGGTTCAGGGTTCATTATTTATTGAGTCCTTTGTCTTGTGTTCAGCTCTAACCTTCTCCGCTGGACTCCATGCGAGACGACGTGTTGACGGTGTCTCCGAACAAACAGTAACGAGGCATCTTCAGACCGACCACGCCGGCACACACCGGACCTGTAACACCAAGCATACATGTATATGTGTATATGTGTATACTGTATATACTGTATATGTGTATACCGTATATACTGTACATGTATATACTGTACATGTATATACTGTATATAGTTTATCTCTTTATCTGTGACGAGGTCAGAACAAGAGAATACAGATGTTTGTTTGATCATAGCAGCTGGTCTACAAGGATCCAGAATTCAGAAGTCAGTAATAAATGTTATACTTTTACTTTATTAGAGTAATTTATAGTGCTTTTGTGCTCGTCTACAAGGCTCCAGACTGTTGTTTTTACCACCGTCCCAATAATAAGTATGCATATGTCTGTATATATATATATACAGATATATGACGTTCTCACTTTGCCTTTAGCTTCCTCAGTGGAATTTCAATCCTTGTTTCTCACAATGTTTTGTTGACAGTCGCAACTGTGTGTGTGTGTGTGTGTGTGTCTGTGTGTCTGTGTCTCTCTCTCAATATTCACACATTAAAGTTTGGTTTCATGAATTATTTCTCCTTCATCACAGTTCTCCAAATGTAAGGAGCCGCTGATGAACCGTAATGTGTGACCCTTCCAGCTGTGAACCCTGGAGCCTGTGTAGTTCACTGGCTGCGTGTCCACTAGCATCCAACACGAAGACATAAAGGACCAGATCTCCACCGATACACTCGCATGTTCCTATTACATTCTAATTCATTTGTAGATCTCAAAATCACAAAAAAAAACACAAAAAAACTTTAGATGGAAAAAAGAAGAAACGTGGTGAACAGAGCAGCGTTCCGTCTCTTAGGATGGACATGTAGTTCTGGAACAGCACAGAACTACACCTCAATCAGTGCATGTGATGTATAAATATATATCATATCACAACTTACACATAACACAGAAAAACAATGTGAAGAGAAGTTAAACTGATGTATTTCCATCGTGCTCGTGACTGTTACAGCTTCATAGTAGATCATTACTCATTACTCTATATTATTATTATTATGTTTCTACCATAATAACACGATCTAAAACAACCTTTAATCTGTTCAATCAATTTGATGTTTTCATTTATACCCGACTGCTGCATAACAATGAGCCGTATTATTAATGTTGAACCATGTTTATGATTTATTATTGCTGCTGATGACAAAGATGATTATCGGCGTTACTGTGTTTAACGTGTGGTCGAGGGCACATATGTGTTTGTACACGCTGTGTGCACTTGTACACGGTGGTGTGTACTTGTACGCGCAGCGTGTACTTGTACGCGCAGCGTGTACTTGTACACACAGCGTGTACTCTCACCGCTGTGGATCCCGATCCTCAGCCTCAGCTGCTGCTCTGATCGGTGGCAGATCTTGAAGGAGCGGACGGCGTCCAGCAGGGCGAGCGCCATGCGGGCGATCTCTCTACCGTGCAGCATCCCGTTCCTCACCGGCAGCCCCGACACCACCATGTAGGCGTCGCCGATGGTCTCCACCTGGGGGGGGGAATATATATTTATACATTTATAAACAAGTTCATGTTCATGTTGTGAGTTTCTTCAGCCATTCAAACTCACAATTTAGTTTTAATTCCATTAAGATTGTAATGTTCTTTTAACACGCTGGTTCCTTTTGTCTGATAATACTACATACTATATAGTATATACTACATACTACATACTATATAGTATATACTACATACTACATACTATATAGTATATACTACATACTATATACTACATACTATATACTATCTACTACATACTATATACTACATACTATATACTATATACTATCTACTACATACTATATACTATATACTACATACTATATACTACATGCTACATACTATATACTATATACTACATACTATATACTATCTACTACATACTACATACTATATACTATATATATAAACATGTATTTAATCTGCAGTGCACAGCAGCAAATACATTTTATACAGTTTGTGTCTCTGAATATCTTTAATAAAGTGAAATAACTGGTTTGATTCGCTCACCTTGTAAACATCAAAGTTGTCGATGATGGCATCGAAACACGTGTAGAGATCGTTGAGCAGAGTCACCACCTGCAGAGTCACAACAGCCAGCTGTTAGTCACTGATCCAGATGTTCACATGAAGCAGGTGTGTGTGTGTGTGTATGTGTGTATGTGTATGTGTGTGTGTGTGTGTGTGTGTGTGAGAGATGATCCTCAGCTGTGACTCACCTGCATCGGCGTGCTCTCTGCAGAGATGGCGGTGAAACCGACGATGTCGCTGAAGTAGATGGTGACGGAGTCAAAGGCCTCGGCCTGAACCGTCTCACCGCGCTTCAGCTGCTCCGCTACCGAGCTGAGGGGGGGTGGCATATACGTCAACGTTTTATACTTCATGACATACTACGCTCTGAAATACTACACTTTGACTCTTTTTTTTTTTTTACTTTTTGAAATTCTATTCTGACCTTTTTGAATACTTAATGAGATACTATGGTATACATATTTGTACCTTTGTATCATCTATCACTGTCAATACAGATCCTCCATGCTGTACATACATGTAGTCATCTTTATGTACATAATCATACACTTCATGTATTTTCATTCAGTATTTATTAAACACTTAAAGAGAAACCTGGAGTCAAATCCATTGAATGTGCAGATAAAGTTAAATCTGATGGTTTTATTTACTTAAACATATTATGAATTATTTCAGCATAATCTGTGACTTTCTTTAGACATTTTTTCAACATACTATACTGTGTATATACTACACTATACTATATACTGTGACATTCATGAATATTTAGTAACACTATACTATGACTCCTCTGCTTCACTATTATCTAATTCAACAAACGTTACTTTAGCTTCTTCTAAAAACTTGTTCTATTCTATTCTATGACTTTTTAATATCTAATGAGTATTCTATAGAGTAGTACTGTAGTAGTAGAAGTAATCCTCACTGTGGTAGTATCTGGTAGAGTAGTGCTTCAGCCTTGCGTTTCTCCTCGTGATAAGCTTGTGTTCGCTCCTCCACCAGCTCCTCCAGGTTGTTGGCATATTGCTCCATACGGGACAGCAGGTTGTCCAGGATGTTGGTCCTCGACTCCCTGAACACACACGCACACACATATAAACTGTGCTGCTGTTTGATAAACAGTGACCAGCTGTTTAAGGCAATTAAACTTTAAAATATAAACTTAATATTTTTGAGGTGTTTTTAAAGATACACGTTTATTTACTGTAGAAATACAAGAAACATTGTGCAATCATATCGTATCTTAACCATATCTCATTACATTACAGTCATTTAGCAGACGCTTTTATCCAAAGCGACTAACAATTTAGAGTCTATCACATTTCTACACCATAGGCACAGCTACGGGAGCAATTTTGGTGTCTTGCTCAAGGACACATCGACATGCGACTAGCGGAGCCGGGGTTCGAACTGCCAACCCTCTGATTGAAAGCTATCCACTTAGCCACAATCGCCCCATCTCATTGTATCTCATCTCATCGTATCTCATCTCATCTTATCTCATCGTATCTCATCTCATCTCATTGTATCTCATCTCATCGTATCTCATCTCATCGTATCTCATCGTATCTCATCTCATCGTATCTCATCTCATCGCATCTCATCTCATCTCATCGTATCTCATCTCATCGTATCTCATCTCATCTCATCGTATCTCATCTCATCGTATCTCATCATATCTCATCTCATCGTGTCTCATCTCATCGTATCTCATCTCATCGTATCTCATCTCATCTCATCGTATCTCATCGTATCTCATCTCATCTCATCGTATCTCATCTCATCG